TAAGCCCGTCCTCTCTCAGTCAACTTACTGTAAATTGCTACCACACAACAGTCTAATCCCTGCAAACGATAGGGCGTGGCGGGCCGTGGATTGGCCAGCGACTACCTTTTCCACCAATGATGCCATCCTAAGCGAGCTACAGCTGGTGGAAGAGCTGTCCTGCTGCAATCTGCAATCCACAACCAGCCATACACTCTGTCATTTGCATGGAAAGTGACTGTACCTATGTACATTAAAAGGAACCCTCCCTCCCACAAGGTCAAATATGCTCGGTCGTGATAGAGCCACATCCAGTCCTTAGTTCTTTACAGGCATTCTTTGTTGAAAACTACACTGCCCGCTGTTTTCCTTCCATTAAAAGTTGTTTTGTTTGTTTATTTATTAATAAATTAGCTTAATTAGTGGTATGTGCAGGAGCTCGAAGTTCTGGTCAGTAATAAGAACTAGTGGTCTCTTTAAGACTATTTCTGCTTCATGGAGACCTTTTTAGCGTCATTTTGGCCCCTGCACCTGAGCAAACGAGAAACTTTTCAGAAGCCAACTCCCTGTTGTCGCGTTGCGGCAGTGGCGTCGTCGCGTGCGACGACCTTTCATCCCTACCGTAGGCCAACCACGACCATGGCGAGTCAGGAGGATTCCGTTTCGTCTCAGTTCTTCGCGGCCAAGAGGTATGTGATCGACAGAATTGTTCTTATAACATATGTAGTATTGGTAAAGTTATAACAAGAAATTCCATTAATTTCGTTAATGCTTCGTCAAAATTATTATCATTGAGTATTATTTTTTCTATTATTGCGCAATGCACATCTTCACTAAATAGCGCTCTTTAGCGCTCTCAAAGCTTCCGTCAAATTGGGACCTTGGATAGTCGATGAATAGTATCAAGCAAAGACCATATCTGAGGGATGCAAGAGGCGTGACTGCGAAAGCGGCGAGGTGTTGACGAAAGAGAGGCAGAGACGTATGTATAACAGAAGAGAGTGGCACGGGAACGTCAGCCACGCCTCTTGTTGCCCTCCGATGTGGACAATTCGCGTCGATTGTGTAACTGTGCCCCCTCCAAATTTAGCAGAATGAAATAGAATGTGAACAGAAGCATTGGCCTATAAACGAATTTTTACGCAGTTTTTTTTCACGGGAACCCCGTAGTTTTGCCTTTCCTGATCCAATTCTCATAAAGCAAGCAAACTCCAATCCGAAACTTGCCTACTACTGTAGCTGATTCGCTTCTCGCCAAAATGGCGCATTCTCATGCCCGGTCTGAGTGGAATAATCTACCAATGTAATCTATTTCAGGACGTCTCTTCCAGCTTTCTTCTTGTCTGACTTCCACGACATTACCGATGACGTAAGCTTTATATCACTGACATTTTTATTTCGTAACATTTTGCCGCTTTGAATAAGCACATATATTTATAAGAATAGCAAGTAGGGCACATCGTTGTTGGGGATTCCCTAATAGGGAGTCTTATCCGATTGTGGAGGGGGTACTGTTTTGGGCCGAGAAAATCGTTCTGATTGTTGGTATCTTCTTGTTTCAGGGACGTTGTAAGGGGGGGGGGCTTGTTTTTGCTCCTTTGTTAGGAAAGGGTTCGTAATTTCCCTTTTGACCTTTTTGAAGAGAGGTTGCTTACTTTTGGGTTTTCGTGGTTTTCTTTGTTTCATTTGTATATATATACCTCTGCTCGACTCGCAAAATTTTGGGAGAACTTGGGGGAATTTTCGGGAAATTTCGGTGAAGGCTAAAGTTTCCGGTAAAAAGGTAGGAAGTTAGGGGAAAGATAGAAATGTCAGAGAGCGTAGGGCCGTCTTTTCCTTGGGACCTGTCAATTGGCTATGAATATCTCCGCATAGGGAGAAGCAATCAAATGCTTTGAAGACGCATTCCGCGGTTGCCAGGTGGGTGGAGATTCATAGACAGTGTGTACGGTGCACCTCCTTGCAGTATGCTCATGGAGGAAGGACGTGCCAATGAGAAGAAACCTGATTTAATAAGTCTCCACCCATTCCTCCGCCCACCTGACGATCACGGAACACTTCTTTGAACAGAGGTCTGGTACCAGTCATTACTTTCTAAGACTGGAACCAAGCTCATGTCTTGTTTCAACAGCTTTCTAACAGCCAATCTCATCTCTAACCTTTCCAGGATCTCGTGCTAGATCAGGAGGACTGTGCAGAAGATCCACCGTCTGACCCCGATGACAGTATCGGCTCGGTAAAAGGTGATTATTAATCCCTGGAAACGCACGAGAGCATCTCTACATCACGATGATTCTTTTCGGTTGTGATAATATAGTACATACCTATCGATTTGTATGAATCCGTTCTGACGACATCTTGCACACATGTATTCATCACAAACCTAGAAAGGATACGGTAGTGATGACGGGTCGTAAAATCGCAGAGAAAATTTGTGCAAGATGTCCGGAACACATGAATGTTTCGTCTTTGTCACTGATCAATGATACGATGTTCGTGGTAAAGTGTAAAAAAAACCTGTTTGTCATCAGTACTGTGAGAAAGAATAGCAGAGTTCTCAGTTCCGCCTATATAACTGGAATTCGGAAATCGGAAAAGCAAGCATTCAAACTTTTACTCCTCAATGTGTCTCAGTTTCAACTAACCAACTGACTTGCCTCCCTGACGTTTCGGTTGTCCCATTCTTTCGGAAGCTGGTGCTCATAAACCCAGAAAAAAAAGCACAGCGCGCACGACGAGTCCCATCTAGGCAAGCAAAACCTCTCATACCTCCAAGGTAGATTGAAGTGTAAAATTCCTCAGGTGAGGCGGCGTTCTTACTACGCGACGAGCGAGCGATTCAGTCGCGTGAATTGGGAATTGCACGACCGATTGTGCTCCAGCGCTAATCGTTGGACTATTGCTCAACCACACTCAAAAATACACTCTAGTTCGCTGCGGACGGTTGGGCGTGTCAGGCAGTATGAGTGTGTCACCCGTCAAAGCCGTTCTCTGCCTTCTTGTTGAAGCGCGCATGCGACAAAAAGTGGTAGAAAACGAGTAATACGAACGATATGATGTGATTATAGTGGTATTATTGGTTTATACTTGTTCTAATGATTATAACAAATTGTATGAAACTGTGGTATTATTTTCAAATGTTAATTTTTTATTCACTTTTCTATCTAATCATTTATTTATTTTATTTTTTAATTATAAATTTCATAGTGTTAATTTTCAAGGAAGTAGTCTAGTTTCCGTTTCGCACGTGCCTTAACGATATGATACAGTCATATCATTTGCTCGCTTTAACAACTGGTGGAGAACGGGTTTGGCACTGCGCCAAACTCATCCCCCTGACACGCCCAACCGTCCGCAGTGAACTAAACTATAGAACACTTTTAGGTGGTTGCAGTGGTCCAACAACTGGAGCTATAGCAGGGAGGATCACACTCGCGCGATTACCAAGTCGCACGTTGAATCGCTTCGTTCCGAAAGTATGAACGCCGCTTAAAGGCAGTTGGCACGATAAATCGCTATACAGATGTAGGATTTATACGACTGGCTTAACAGAATTCCGTGACCTCGGACAGGCGCTCCGTGGCGCCTTTTTTTCCAAGGAGGGTACCCCTATAACGCCCTATCGAGCAACAACATTCCGTCCCAAACGCCTTCCTCGCCCGCCCGCCCACAAACGGACGACCGTTCCTGACGCTCGTATTCATTCATTTGCTGAGCAAATTATGAAGCGAAGGGATTGGTATGAAGCGGCCGTGATGCTGCATGGATATATGGGTACACATATGCAGCCGTATCTTCGGTAGCGGTGATTGGTAAGATGCCTACGGGAAACTCGTCCGAAATCGATTTTCAAGTCACTGAGAACGGAAGGCTTTTCTTCGCAGGATTTTGACCGTTTCACTCCGTTCTTTCGCCATTTCCCCGCGCCCGCTAGCATTTTAGGGTGAGTAGGGAGAGCATCGTGCCAACTGCCTTTAATAAATGCTTTTACGACTGGTTTTCCTAAGCCGTTGTCTAGAGCGCCGGCACGCACTCAGTGATGGACGGTCTTGGATGGCTGGACAACTATCACTTCACATTCGAAAATACATTTCAAGTTGATCTATACGTTCTCATTCGAAAATACATTTCAAGTTGATCGCACGGGTGGAGTCACTTTCACAGGGACGCAATAACCACGGATAGGACCACTCTTCGAAATGAGAAGGAGAAAGGGCGCACCAATCGTAACGGAGCGTCTGACTCCGCCCACACGACTAACGCGGAATGTGCCGTTGAGATGACACACACCGCCTCTATTATTCCAATTGATTTGACCTACCAGGGAATAATGCGAGTTGGGTACTTCTTCCTCGAACTTCTCAGAATGATTAGGGCTCATCCTATTCCAAAAACGAAGGCTAAAAAACAGTTGAATATTTTATTGATTTCCTTTCAGAGAACAGTGAACACCTAATAAATAAAGCTAGCTAACTAGTGTAGCCTTTATCATGAGATGATATGATTGTAATCAAATGTCAAAACTGAAGATCCTAATCGAGTCAACATCACGAAACCGCCATCATTGACCGATTTGCGTCAAAGTGAGATGGCAATGAGAAAATCAGTTCAGTTCCTTCTAACCAGTTGAACAAACAGAAACGGAACAGATCCTACCTATGAATCTTCGCTACAGTCATGAGCCATAGAAAGTGGAAATTTCTAGAAGATAGATGGACTTGTCTTGTGAGCCTATGGAAATAATGGCTGGGGACGGGCGGCTGGTGCCTGCGTCATTGGTGGAAGGGCTGAGTGGGGTGTGGTCACACGCCTTCTCCAGCCCTTCCACCAATGACGTTGGCAGTAACCGCCCGCTCCCAGCCATCGTGCCCAGTGCCTTTAAGTAGAAAGTTTTTTTAGGCGAAGATAAACGTCCGGTGCATAGATATCGATTAACAGTTTCTACAACGTCTAGACATTCGACAGACATCGTCGAATCAATGGTTTCACCCGTTCCCTCTTATATGCTTCGACAATCACCGCCCAGTCATAGTGATCTGGTAATCTGAAAGTTAGCCCGATTAGGGGAGATAGTATTTTTATGGAAGAAAGTGCTAACGTAGTAGGGGAGACCACTCGGCAGCACCTCTGCGTGTGTTCCCCTCAAGCATCGTGGGGAAAAACCCATCAGGGAGTGTCTCACTCGGTTCCCCAGCGGCCGAATGAGACACTCCGCTGATGGTTTTTCCATCTGCTTTGGAGAGAGACTTCCCCATCCGCGAGAAATTTTTTCGGTTGTTGACTAGTTTTCTCCCGTTTCGTATTCGCTGTATAGAACCCACCCACTGCTCGCAGCAGGGCACATCGTTGTTGGGGAATCCCCAATAGGGGGGGGTCGTATTTGGCCGCCAGGAGAGGGGGTCGTATTTGGGCTGGGAAAAATTTATTTTGATAGTTGATTTTTCTCGCTTCATGGACGTTGTAAAGGGGGGGTCGTACTTGGTCATTTTTGGGAGGGGGTCGTATTTACGTTTTGGCGTTGTGGGAGTGGTGGTTGACTTTTTGGTGATTTTCGATTGCCGATTGTTCCTGTTTCACATGTGGCTACTCTTATCTCCCTCGCCGTTCCCACCCCCGCCTCGACGGCTTCCACTCGGTGAGGGAAGGACAGATGGCCGCAGGGGAGGGGGTCGTACAGATTTGAATAAAATCCCCAACCAATAATGTGCCCTGGCTCGCAGCATTTTGGGGTATGTGGTAAGAGAATCGTAATTCGCCGTGTGGCGTGTCGCGTGCGACGTCGCGCCCACAAATGGCGATAGTTCCAGGTAGTAGATGGTACAACAGGTAATTCGGAACCGAAAATAATCACGAATGTCTACGATGACGGGGTCTACATGAAGTCCGGTGCTCCAATCGACAGGTTAACACGAGTTAAGAAAACGCCGCGCCCATCGCCGCGCGCGGCGGAGCGGCAAATTACGATTCTCTTGCCCGTCCCCCGTATTTTGGAGAAGAGCTCGAGAAGTTTCTGGGAAAGTAGTAGGAACTTGGGAAAATCCAGGCAAATGGTATGTAGGATTCGGAGGGGGTCGTACCAGATTGGGGAACTCCTGAGGGTGAGCTTGCACAGTCACCGCTATTTCACCCGATATGATGGCTGCGCCCTGCTTTCTCCTACCTGGCTTTAGGTTTGAATGGGAGGGAATATGCTTCTCTGCTAGGCTATTTCCCGGCGATTGTGATAGTCTGCGCTCTAGCTCAAGCTTTGATTAGTGGATAGAGGTACTGCCGAGTGATTTGCCCTCACGTACATCACGGATTCTGGAAGATACATCATACTGAAATGGCGTGGGACGCGCTTTTCGTGGGACATGCCCACTCAGGACCGCTGTCATCCGACCTTATGCTGGACAAAGACAGATTACAACTGTCCCAGAACGGCAATATCCTACCAAAACGCAGACACCACCACGCCAACCAGCCACGTTACCCCACTCGGGGAATTAGAGTGTGTTAGCACTGGAAGCTGAAAAAAAAAAAAACTCACCGATACATTTTGCGCACCCGCTTAAGACGTTTTGTATTTTCGTTGTATCGGCTTATATCTCTGAAATTAGCAAAACATTTCTGAGGAGTTACGTTTACTTTAATTTTTCAAATGCACGGCCAATGCCGTTTGGACGCGCTTACTTTTGGCTACGAGCTCATTTATGAAGTGCCTAGATCACCAAATCCGCTGAAAACTTGTATACAGGGTAATTTAACATCCTGATTACGAATATGACATTCATTCTTGGCGCTGGCGCTAATGGATGACACTACGATTACCTGCGCTCTGCTAAGGCTGAGACCCAAGAG